GAAAATTTTAGAATTCTTTGGAATCAGCTAGGCATTAAAACAATGATAATGGATAATGTTTGGCTTTGCTCATAGAAAGTTCTAAACTATTTAACCCTTTCGCGACCGTGGGTCCATCTCCTCTTAATCCCTAACCTCCACTGTGGGGAATGCTGGAAGGTTCGTCGTGCCGCCGTCCATCGGCTCGAGAATCATCGTCTGTCTCATTCCTCTCCGCTACTTCGCACAGTGGCACGAAGCGAGCAGTCTTGTGTTACTGCTTTATAAGATGAAAAATTTTTGCTCACCACTCAGTTTTTTTAGAATATCTAAATGATCATTATACTGCGAAAAATTCACTAAAGTGCTGGAAATCTCGAAAATTAGTTATCACAATGGCTGTCAGCTCAAGTGGGTTTATATAGCGGAATCGCATACTCGACCAAACCTGTTAAAGGTTGGTGGCTGATAGCTAACATGGAGATGTTGAAGAACGAGTGGTGGCGCAAATGTGCCTCGGTGATGTAAGAGTAGAGCACGCGTCCCCGTGTAGGATGAAACGCGGGTTCAATTCTCGCCTAAGGCCGTATTTTTGCTCATCAATCAGTTCTTTTACGAATATATGAAAACAGAGAAATAAACAGAACAATTTTTGACAAAAAATGAGCAAAAAATTCAATAGAATTATCGTAAGTAATAAAGAAGTATAATATGGATGCCACGAAGTTTACAGAACTTAGCAAGTGTGCTATTCATGACATCTCCAGAATCATTGACTCTGTACATTCTCCGAACTTGCCGCCACAGACCTCGCAGCCAAATTCTGAGGGCACTAGTGTAGCACAGAATCCACCGGAGCCTAGCGGTGACGTGAAATATTTGGAAATGTTCTTCCTCACCCTGTGTTTTTTTCCGATATACATATGTGTCCTGCACGTGATTCGACATGGAACTTCTTGAAGATATATTGTTTCCAGAAGCCTCATATTCTTGACGTAGTAAAGCAAAAACGACAGCGACGTTCAAATCGTTATAGAAACTCAGGATCGAATAGAATCGGCTATTGGAGCATTAATATCGGCCGTTTGAAATGCATCACTTGTTTTACCTACTTTACTTGACATTAAAAAAAAAGCTCTCGCCGTTGATCAATCCCTGAGGGATGCGCCATGCATTCGACTTCAATTTTTAACTTCGTTTGAGGTGATTGAATGCATATCTGGCCTTTACAATGACTCGCGGAGGCCTCCCGCTGAACCGAGTCAGTGCTGCTTATCCTCCCAGACAAGTCTGAGACCTGTCTGGTACCAATTTACCGACTCCGGAGGGATGGATGGCTTGGTGAGCCATTAGCGCGAGATCGAACTATTGACCTCGTGTGCGACGCAGGGCATCCCTAACCACTGCGCCACATGCGCTCTCTACTTGCTCATTTTGCTATTTGCTCATTTTACAAATTGCAGCTACTCTTGTAAAAGGGAAAGCTCGAATACAATTTGAAGCGAAGGCACAGTACATTGGCGAGAGCACAGCAGTCCTTCAAATCACTGGTACAAATACACGCCAAGTCGGGTTGGTATACACCGCCTACAACTGAAGGATGACAGCGGTCATCGTAACTTTGTATGTCCTAATTTTTCTATCATGCTGCTTTCGAAGATGCTATCATTGTCTCTTTTTAGTCAGTCAACCCTTCAGAAGTCATTTTATTGTTCCTTTATCATTCACTATCATCAACTATAGTATCACATCAATCTAATTTATAATAGCAAATGAGAAAATCACAATACTTTAGAACTCGGTGTTTATAATCATCTTTCGTTATTCATCGGTATATTCTTTCAGTAGTCATAACTGGTCATTAAAGACTGGAATAATCAGCTGGTGTTCTTTTTGTCCAAAATTTACTAATTATGTCTCCATTTTATTCTTGAAATGCATATTTGTACAGTTTATATAACACATCGATCGCCTCTTCATCAGAAGTTAGTATGTTTACTTGACATTAACTCAGCTAAAATCGTAGCTGAAGTTAAATATTCTCTTCCCGAAACTGTATCGTGATTCCCAATTCCGTTGCACAAGTTGGAAATGAGCAGTGACTTTATACTGTTGATTAGGTAACTCGTTATGAGTACTTAGAATGCGGTTAATTGTTCATAGGTAGATGTGGTTGATATTAGCCATAACATAACGAATGATGTCTACCATTTCTCAGGTTTAATTCACCCAGACTTGTATTGTCATACTTGAATCATACATTCTGATTTCGTGAGTTGTATGCATTTCTACCTTGGAAGTCAGTTGACCCTTCGTTGCGCCCCAGAGCTAGGCTTTAGCTCTTGTACAAATTTTGGAGACTGTACTCGTTATGTATACTGTTGTAGCCATCCTTGTATTCCTGTCTCGCTAGGATTGTACTATTGTTATAACGATAAAAGATAATTCATATCTGCGAGGTTCGACACAGAGGCAACTATCAGGTGTCATATTATGAAGTTTTACGATCATATCGCATTAGTTATGAACACCTTCTGCTTTCTTTGCCCAAGAGTAGTATTTCGTTCTGCGTGTAAGAAAATTCCAGAGCCACCTATTCTCTGCTTTGCTTTACGTGCGCTGCTATTTTCTATCTCTAATGTTTATATTATTTTCCTCCCTTGGTACCGTTTCAAGCGATATATCATGATGAACTGGTTTTTCAGCCGTAAGGAGATTTCGCACAGTTTTTTTTTATCAGTTGATTGATCGAAGAATCTTAATTAGTTGTTAATACTGATCGATTTGTCTTGAAGTCGATTTTGCAGTGTGAGTTCAAACATTATTCTGTAGAATGGCAACACAGACGTTGCGGGCGCTTCTCTCGCTTTACTGCTACCTATTTCCATAGTCATTTCCCCGTACATGTTAGCGTTGACTGCATGCTTGCTGTCGAGCAATTTTCAAAGCATCATGCAGTGCCATTTGCATTTGCCTTCCGAGTTGGATCTTCCACTTTGATTGAGCTAGCGGGTCTTCGCCGCGAAGCAGCCACTGAATGTGGCATGAATTACTTTTATTGTAGACTAAGAACCTATTTCCAGTGATGATCGACCTGGGAAAGACTTCTCTATGCGGTCATAGGAGATCTATCGCGCATGGCCATGCATTGAGCTCGGTTATGGTGGGCAGATGCATGAGGTGTCCGTCGATACATTACTATGCGATAGCCCAATTCATTTAGATGGCGAGCAATGGTGCTACGGCCGCATTTACAGACCATCTCGACATCCCTTATTAACATCCTTTATACACCTTTATAGCGCAGATCGTCATCGCCAATGCGTAAAATTTGTTTGATTTGAAAACTGGATGATGTAAAGAGAATTTTCTGGAGTACATTGTCTTGAACGCCGATAAACCGATTTAATACTAACTGGATGAGCGATTTTTATCGTCACGCGTCAGAGACATAGTATTCTAGGAAGTATTTTGTAGGCACAGAAAGCAGAAAGTTCACGGCTCAATGGACATTACGAGTTTCACACAAAATATGGGAATGCTTAGTAATGCAGTTTCTTTGTAGGCAGTGCTGCTCCGACTCCCAACCCCAACAGCTGCAAGAGTCTACGTGGAAACACCTTAGCGCGGTTATCTCCAAAATTTTAAAGAGAATCGACTCAACAATCAATCTAGTACATTCATTAAGCGGATGATTTCCTTAATCAATAGTCGGCTGGAAGCCACCATGAAAGATTTAGTGACTTTTGAGGAGGGTGAATATGAGAAACCGTATCAGAACAAATGCTGGGGCACGCAAGATAAATCGTGATGACAAGTCTCGTCAAAAAAGAGACGGTATAACGAAACAATCTATACAAACTTATCTAGAAAAACAAATCAAAACAATATGTCTATCTTTACAGCTCAGATGCTTTATCTGGTCACTAGTGAAGCAGTTCAAGCATAATATTTTCCATGATTAGTTCTCATCTACTAGCATCTATTCGATACGATTCGGCATCCAAAGTTCTGAGTAGTCTGTAAGGTAGAGTAGATAGTATCTAATATACTATCTCCAACTCTTGGCCTATTGATTGTCATCATCCAGAAAATGTTATTAGATACTTATACCACAACATTTAGACCAGATTCTTATATAGACTTGAGTCTTACACTAGGCATATGTATTTCTCTTAATTCACCTGTATCACCTGTCATCCCGTTGAGGGTCTAGTGACACGAACGGACATCTGTGAAACTTCCACTCGTCCTCAATGAGTACATGAGTCGACTAGTGAGTCTTTCTTTCAAAAGGGATTCGTTGAGCAGCACATTTTCTTTTTAGGCCTTTTGTAAAGAAACGGACCACCGAGCCCATTGGTCTGTCGTGGCGCTTTTTTTCTTAACAGTTTAGTGGTTAGTACACACGTTTGTCTTCTTCTCTACATCATCGCAGCAAATTCGCCTCTACCGTGCTTTCTGAGTGATGCTACGAAGCTTCCGATCATTGCTATTTCTGAACAGCTGGTAAAAGGGATCTTTAGATATAACAGAAAAAACATTCTGCATTCCATTTATTTTAGAACCACATTTTTTTTATTGCACTGGGCCTTCACTTCTTCTTTCCGTGGTTTCTGGTCGATGACGTGCATAGAAAGGTAATAGGAATTTTTACGCACGTTTGATTAGGATGAGTTTTGCTCTTGACCAATTTGAACCCAATATGGAACTGTTTTAAAATTGAGAGATGAGATTACAGAAATAATTTAGAGAACCAGAAACGACAAAAAATTGTGCGACAAGCTTTTTTCTTCTGAGGGTACGAAAAAGCTTGGCAGGGTGCATTCTGTATCTATTGAGTTTTCCAGATTCTGAAGACAGGGATAACGCCGTAGACAATTTGATGGCGGCATAATCTTTTGCGTCCAATTTAATAGACGAACTTACTCTTTCCCAGGCGCTCAGCTTCATAAGGATACATTCGCACTCCCTTTCATGCTATTAGTAACATTATCCTTTCCGTAGGTGTAAGGGCAACGGCCGCCGTAGTGCAGTCGGTTAGAGCGTGGGTCTAATAAGCCCAAGGTCATGGGCTCGAACCTTGCTGGCGGCGCATTCTTTTGCCTCGATTTAATTGACAAACTTACTCTTACACAGGCGCTCAACTTCATAAGGATATAGTCGCATTCCTTTTATATTGTTAGTAATATTGTCCTTTTTGTAGGTGTAGCGTGGGTATAATAAGCCCAAGGTCACAGGTTTAACCCCTGCAGGCGGCATATTGTTTTTGCATCCGATTAAACAATCTTACTCTTTCCCAGGCGCTCAACTACATAAGGATACAGTCGCACTCCTTTTAATTTTGTTAGAAACATTGTCCTTTCTTCAAAATTATAGTATTTTTACTGCTTTTTTCTCAGTGTTATGATGTTACTTATATAACTAAGAGAACTGAGTGATGAGCAAAAACACAGCCTCAGGCGGGAATCGAACCCGCGTTTCATCCTATCCGAGGACGCGTGCTCTACCACTACACCACCGAGGCACATTTGCCCGATCACTCATTCTTCAACATCTCAATGTTAGCCATCAGCCACCAACCTTTGACAGGTTTGGTCGGATATGCGATTTCGCTTTATAAATCCCGTTAAGCTGACAGCCACTGTTATATGATAAAGAATGAGTGGTCCGGCAAATTGCCTACGTGGTGTAGTGGTAGAGCATGCGTCCCCGGATAGGATGAAACGCTGGTTCGATTTCTGCCTGAAGCCGTGTTTTTGCTCAGCACTCAATTCTCTTAGTCATTATCCTTTCTGTAGGTGTAAGAGCAGCGGCCGCCATAGCTCAGTAGGTTAGAGCGTGGGTCTAATAAGGCCAAGGTCATGGGTTCGAAACTTGCTGGCGACGCATTGTTTTGCGTCCGATTTGATAGACAAACTTACTCTTTCCCGGACGCTCAACTCCATAAGGATATAGTCCCACTACCTTTCATAATGAGAGTAGTATTGTCCTTTATGTAGGTGTAAAAGAAACGGCCGCCATAGCTCAGTTGGTCAGAGATGATTAAACCAATATCAGTTGAATAAGAAACCTTTAGAATCAATGGTTCTTTGATTGAAAAGATAGAACTTTCGAGCATAGTTGTTCGATGCCGCGTGCCCATAGTGCAAGTAATGTGCTTTCGTTGTTTACTTTCTTCAAGGCTCGTATTTCGAACATCGAAGAAATCGAATAAGCAGGATTTCGTTCAAGAAAACCATGTTTCGCATTGCTGTCATTTGCAGCCATTGCTCTCGCACTGATATTTTTATATTTGCATGCTCGTGATAGAAGATCAAAGTCTGCTCTAGGATTGCTTTAAGGCACTGTAAATTTTGGACGACAAGATCCCACTAAGGTCTTTCGAAACGAACCAGAGTCCTAGTATGGCACTACAAATTGATAAGCTTAAATAATGATCCATGCATTTGTTGAGTTGAAAATGATGAAAATATAAGTTGAAAATATTATATTCAACAAAAAATTTACATTTGGCGCTACATTGGAAGGCTGGAACAAACGCTTTTGGCGAAGAAATTTGCATGAATGACAATGAGAATAATTTCATCTCAGTGCTTTCAAAAAGAAAGAAGAACTAAGTGAACTTTTTTATTGAGAATGATTTTGTACACGATACCTTGCAAGCGACCATCACTACCTTCGTATTGGGTACTAATTTAGACACTTCGCTTTCATAAGTAGATAATGTTGACGAAAAAACTTTGAACTTCACAGAGAATTTTTTGGTAATTATATAGCAAAACAAGAGCGCATGTGGCGCAGTGATTAGAGGTGCCCTGCGTCGCGCACGAGGTCATTGGTTCGATCTCGCGCTAATGGCTCACCAAGCCATCCATCCCTCCGGGGTCGGTAAATTGGTACCAGACAGGTCTCAGACTTGTCTGGGAGGATAAGCAGCACTGACTCGGTTCAGCGGGAGGCCACCGCGAGTCATTGTAAAGGCCAGATATGCATTCAATCACCTCAAACGAAGTTAAAAATTGAAGTCGAATGCATGGCGCATCCCTCAGGGATAGATTAACGCCGAGAGCTTTATCCTTTATCCTTATCCTCACTACGAAGGAAGAAGCACGACATTTCTTTATACTTGTCCAATATTTTTCATTTCGATAGCCAGTAATGTCAAGCATTGTTTATGCTCATAGCTGAATGCATTGAGGTAGTCGATAAATGTTCGCTTTCTCAGGGCGTCGAGTCCATAGCTGTTGTCGTGGTCAATAAATATGCAAAACTGTCATGAGAGTGAACTCACCGGAGCAGTAGCACGGAGGCAAATTGATTTTTTCTCAACACGCCCGCTCACACAATTCGTACAACACTCAACTCACAGTGGTTGGGCACACAATTCGTCACTGGTGGATGACGTCCAATGTGCAAGCCTAGTCTGCTAAATGAGAGAAACGTACTCCAACTATTTCCATATACTGAAGAGTGTTGTCTCTCATCCTTGTCCCAAGTTGATGAAAATATCTGCGTTTACCTTTGCTGAGAGAAAATAAATTTCGTTCGAAATGTTTTGAAAAGAGAACGACTCGAGCACAGGATGCAGTGCAAATTTCCTCATTGACATTATTCAATGAATAACAGAAAATTCAATCATCCTAATGTCGTTGTTTGAAAAATAAGCGAATGCTAATAGCTGCTGTTGAAACTGACACCCCCTAGTAAATAATGACTGATTTTGGAACTAATCAGGATTGATTGCAGCTCATCCTGCTTTATCAATCACGCTCTCACATCAACCACTTCATTGTTCCGAAAAAACAAAGAGGTGAATAAACAACAAATCGTCGGCAAGGCGTCACATCAATAATGATTCAATACATATTATTTTTATTCATTCATTTATAATGGTGCTCTATATGAGGCAACTTTAGTGACATCGTGCGCAAACGGAATGAACCATCACTTTTCACACCCTCTCCTTTCGAATTCTGTGTGATAAGAGAAAAGATGCAAATGTAATAAGAATCGCAAAGAATTCGATTATCCTTATGCTGACAAAGTATGAAGCAGCCGGTGTAGGTTGAAAAACTACTCCCTTTCAGTGCTCCTCATATTTACCTCTTAGGAAATATTGGGTGAAAACGTATTTTGGCAAAGCCGTTCGCTGCGAGTCTCTAGCTGCAGCTGTCCATCGATTTTCCTGTGAGTATTTCGATTGAGAGAGAAAATACTTCCTGGATGTTCGCTCTCCTTTGCAGTTCAACCGTTCCGATTATGAAGATCTTCCGGTGGTGACCCTTGAAATCGAAAAACGGTGAATGAAAAATGTCAAAACCATTATGCAGAACGGCGAAAATGTCTCACAATGCACAGCATCGTGCTCTTCTCCATCAACGCAGTCGAATTCGTTACACTCAGTACGGCAACAACAGGGTTTATTTCCTCCGAACTTCTTTCAAAAAGTGTAACAAAGTGGTAGTGGTGCAGTCCGTCATGAGAAAATATTGTTCGACCCCACCTCGTGCTCACGAAATCTTCCATTCATTCGAGGTGACAAATTGGTGCCAACTGTCAAAGGATCTTTCCACACTCTCTAAATCACAAGTGAACGGCTTTTCATGGCTATCCGTAAATCAGGAGAAAATAAAGTTCATCAGCACTAAACGACCTTCATCATGACGAAGGTGAGCAAGAGATCAAGAAGCAGCCAAAGCTGCATACAAGAACTTTGATGACATTAGTAGATGGTGAGTGGATGATATGAAGCCGATAGAATGAGGTAGTGGTGGTCTTCACACAGTGAGTGTGAGAAATGTTGACTCAAAACAATAGTTCTTTTCTATGCTCATGCATTAAATGAATTTCCACAATGAGCAGTCCCTATCAAAAAAAAAAAAAAAAACAAACACGCCCTGAATTTGAAGTTAAAAAACGTTGTTGTGCCAATAACAAACGCTAACTAGGAAAACGCCGCCGGAGATTCCATAATTTCGCGAGCGCATCTAAATTTATGCACGCCTTTTCAGCAGCTTATTTTGTTTAACAGAGTTTCTTTATTGCACTTTTTGTACTCCACAATGATATCATTTCCAGTCCAGATATTTTGTTAGTTGTAACATGTGAAAATCGCAAATTTTCGACTTGTAATTCAGAACTTGGATTTTTTAAATAACTTCTTGTTGTGGCGAAAAATTATTGATGTTTGAGAGGCTCGGAGCTATAGGGAATGACGCCCGCGATGATACGCAGAAGTAGATCTGCCTTAGCATTAAAATTCGATATTGAAGAAGAGCTTTCACTATGACTGAAGGAGAAATCATCGAGGAGACCCAGTGTTTTATTCGTGAACAGACACAAAGGTATGAAGAAAAAGGTATATTCGACTCAGTCCTGACTGATGCTTTTATTGCTTCGTCTTCTTCGAATATATTTTTACTGAAGAGGTTATATTAACATCAAATCCGCTTACCTGAGCAATTCTATTACCACAGCAGAAAAACATGACGCACAAACCTTGCTTTTTGTAAGTTTGCGTACTAATAAGCTTTTTCTGCTGAGGTATGAAAGTGTTTGTCAATCAGTATTGAATTATAAACCTTACGTTAACAACTACGCGTTTTCTGATGAAAAAAAAGAGATTTGTTTGTTCAATGTCGAGGCACATAAAAAGCTGGTATTGCGCATTCACTATGTGGGCAAGGCAATCAAAAAGCGTGAACTCGTCAATGGAGTTTAGAACAATTCACTAGGTAAAACATTTACCAAATTCTGTGACCTTCTCATTTTATCATTCTTAATATCAATATACACTATATACATAATTAGTAGTTTCTACACACATCCCATAATTACTACCTACAGTGAACAATTTTCCAGTCGATCTCTTGTGGCTTGGATAAGAAAACGGTCACGTTACGAACTATGAATAGCATGAAGTTGTTATATTTATCATGAACTCCCTTGACTCTACTATGCGAATCACAATCTACTGTGACTATGCAATTCACTGTCTCCTATCAGCTTCCATTAGATTACTTGCAGTGAAACTCCTCTTGTGTATTTCCTATAGCTGCCGACAGGATAGTTCTTGGTCTTCATTAAGTCTCCAGCCAAGGAAAGACTCGTGCGCCAAGTGTAGATGTAAAGATCCATACAAGGTAAAAAATTGCACATTTGCTGTACCACCGCCAAGAGCTCCATATCACAATTTATGGAGGAATCACTACCAAAAAATGCTAACTCTTTGTCTCACAGCGGCCTCGTCAATGCAGTTTCAATAATAAGATATTGGAGACAACTTTGCATCTATATATGTGACGAAATCCACAGTAGATAGAAACTTTCCAAGCCTGCACAGTTGGTTACTATTCAACTGTTTTCTACAATACATCTCTTTGTACACGATTTCTCTTTGTCTCACTCACCTTCCGAACGTCGGCCACAGATAATACATATAAGTATATGATTCTATGTACCATGGCTAAAATTCTTTATCCACACTATGTTTTTGAATACCTGGAGGCTAAAAGGCAATGAACTCTTAGACCATTCACCACCAGCTCTGAACACTTTCGTTCTCTTCCCTCAGCTCATTCATTTGATCCACAAAACGAGCAAAACGGTTCATTATAAGAAGTGAAATCGGGGCATAGAGAGGGACTACAAAAATGAGAATGCACGGAAACAAATAAATTGGTGATACCAACGAAGATTATCAAAACTTCCATATGTGCCCGAAAACATTTACACCTTTCAACAAGAATGTTGCAATTCATTACGACCTTTGTTGTCTGGGAAAAAACTTCCAGCATTAAACCTTCAATGGACGATTTGTATCAGCTGGGACAAACGACTGTACGAAGGCCTTTTTCTCTTAAAAAGCTCTTCTTTTAGACACATGG